TTCATCATAGGTATACATATTAATGGCTTTGACCCTCATTGACTTCGGCGACTTGAAGACTGTTATGTCATCAGGTGACGGTTTCGTCAATTTAGGGTATTCAGATGAGATATTCCTTCTCAGCGATCTACTAGACCCACAAAATCCTCACTATACTCCAAGTAATTATTCTTTCTTCTATGTATTTCCTTGTGTTATAGTTCATTTAGGATTTTTCTTTACCTTTAAGTGTAGTGCAGTAAGTTGAACAGCCACAGTTTTGTGCTGGGTTCTATATTGAAAATTCAGTCATTTCAGCCATCGTAGATAGGATCGAATCCAATCTTTTTAGTGAACTGTCTTTTAATTTGAATAATTTTTTACTGTTTCACATTAGGGAATAAAAATCCTACAAGTACACTAGTATACTAACCATATGTGAGACACGATTTATATCGTTATAAACAATATGTGTCGTTTGTGTAGCTGTGGTAATAAGATTCCAATAGTGTTGAACCTAATGGTGTGCTCGTAGACCAGCTTGAATTAGCATTGAAATCCGGACACTTATTTACTAATTAGACTTCAGTCATTCCACTTGATTATAACTGTTGATACTGCAGTTTAGTCACACAACTTATAGATTACGATTTTACTCTTTTTATTCCTCGCGTTCTCAGTAGAAAGTAGGGCTTCAGGGTTTAAAGTTTTAGTAGTGGTGGTATTGATTTTTACCGGCTGTGGTTGCTTTTCCAAAGCCAAACATTTTACCTTTTCCGGCTTTAGTGTCGGTTAGTAAGCTAGGCAAGTTTAATGGGTGTGTCGTCAAAGAATGTCAGCCACACAATCTCCATGTCACTGTTGCACCGACGACCCACTAGTCGCTTCCCATTGGGGTTCCACTCGAGAGATGGCCTGCATTGCGCGTGATGTCATTCAACGGTTTCCTTAATGAATGCCCAATCCATCTCCATTTTCGTCTACATATTTTTTGAGCGATCGACTCTCGCATGTTGGTTTGTTGCCAGACATTCACTCCACTAATTCTTTCTGACCGGTCGGCCATTCGATCTTCAGTATGGATCCATCGAAGGCAGCTGTTGATAAAAGTGTACAGTAGCCAGTTGGAAATGCTTTCCGTGACATGTAGTGCAAGTTTCTCACCCGTATAGAAGAACGGACTGACTTCACATTTGTGTTGAAAATCCAAATCTCATTCTTTATGCTGAGTTAGTGGAGATTTCCAAATTGGTTTCAGGTTGATGAAGGCGTATCTTGCATTTCCGATTCTGGCTTTCACATTTTCATCGGTCCCACCTGCAGCTTAAATGATGCATACTGCCAATGAACTACAGACGCATTCACCTAATATATATAACATTTCGTGAGTTTCTTATTATCATAGGGAAATAAACATATATAATACTGCTAGATACGAATAGTCACAAATCCCTCGTACTGACAAATAGCAACCAATAGCCAGACCGGAGCGATCTAAAAAGATACGCGACAGATATTTAGCTGGTTATTTTTTTCCCCACAGAATATCAATTTTTCCTGCGGATGAATAATCAGCCTCTATTTTGGAATAGAGCCATTTTTATAATATAGCTTAGAGCTGATATTAGTATATAAAAATATTGGAAATGTGAATTTTTCGCTTCATCTGAAGCCTGACTCACTCGAATTTATTATGAATCTAATAGCTAATTAATCAGAAAATAAAACAAAAACAATTTGTTTACAAAATAATGAGATGTTTTGAAAGGAATAGTGTTCTGACGGATGAACTTCAGGTGACAGGAAACATTCAGTAGGATTTCACATAGATGTATATTTACTGATCAATAAAAATGACCTATAATATTCCAATCAAAACAAATTTATCTCATGTTGTCTTTCATATATGAACTTGAGTAGAATCATTAATAATAATCATGAAGTGAGTTCAACTAGGGTCCAATATTGTAAAATCAATACTATTCTATTGAGATCAAGTTATAACTTATCTTAATTGAGGGATACATGTATTTGTTAGCTGGTTGAAAGTAATTTAGTAGAAAACCCGGGATTAAAGTTTTGTAATTTCTGGCTGTCATCATCAAAAGGTAAATTTAAGATTGATAAAAGATATCTATTTTAGAGATTGTAATCCACGTTAACCAACAGTGTGTAGAGAAGTATTAGATGGTTGGAGGCAATCGGCAGGAAGCCCAGCCTGACTTAGGTTTCGTGCTAGTTGGTACTCGTCAGCAAGGCGTATCTGCAACCTTGAATGTAGAGAAGTGTTAACTTACCTATAACTTCCTTTATGAAGGGAGCAGATATCACATTATCTATTCCTTAGATGACAGATGGAATTTATAAGCCAAGTTTGCAATGAGGTTATCTAACTGAAATGACTGTTGTTTTGATACAGTTAAGATTAATGCTAAACCATTACACTGTAAGCTAACTGCGTGGTATTCAGTTAAGACTTAAGACTGGATAACATAAATTTACTCAGTCAGAATACATAAGAATTTCTTACTAATGGCATAGAAAGCACTTTATAATAGAAACGAATAATTAGTGAAATATTTAAAATGTTCTCAGCTTAAATTTCTCTTAAACACATCTCCCTTCTTTATTATTATAATTTCCTTTAATTCCTAGAGGAACATAGGGCTTCAGCCGTGCGTCTCCATTGCGTTCGGTTCTCTGCTAGAGTCTTCACCTGGCTCCAAGTCTGCCCACACGTTTTCATCTCCTCTTCACATGACGTCCTCCAAGTCACCCTTGCACTGACTACCAACTTGCCGCTTCCCTTTCGGGTTCCACTCGAGCAATGGCTTGTCTAGTGATGTCACTTGATGGTTTCCTCAGAGTATGGCCAGCCAATCCACCTGCATTTCTTCCTGCCTATTTGTTTCACAATCGGTTCCTGCTTGGTTGGTTCGCTCATTCCCAGAGATCTCTGTTGCTGATCTTTTCTGGCCATCTGATCTTGAGTATTGAGCGAAGACAACTGTTAATGAAGATCTGTAGTTTGTTTGAGATGCTCTTTATGACGCGCTGGCCAAGTCTCTGATCCGTATAGTAGCACTGACTTCACATTGGAGTTGAAAATCCGGATCTTATTTTTGATGCTGAATGTTGTTGACCTCCACACAGACTTGAGAGTAGTGAAAGCTTGTCTTGCTTTTCCGATTCTTGCTTTAATATCCACGTCAGTTCCGCCTGTAGTTGAAACGATGCTTCCCAGGTTCTCCCTTCTTTGAAAAAGAGGTTTCCAGATACTATTATGTCAAGTGCACATAACTAGGAATTTATTCACTTATGGTTCTAGCTTCCAGTGATAGAGAGGTATTTTGATGTGACTGTATTCTGTGAGCTGGATGATTTGATTGAGAAGATTCTATTATCTTTCTGAAGAACATTTTCAGCTCAGACTTCAGTGTGGAGGTGTAGCTATTATGTTTTACAACGATGAAGTTTATAGTAGATTCATGCTAAAAGACATAATAAAGGATTGAATCTAAAGTTGAATTGAGTACTAACTTACTTGTGTCGATGTTATATCACCTAAGGGCCTTGTATTCAGTATAGCTGTAGTTGGGTACTGTTGAAGATTCACAAGTAAGAATGTGACAACACTTTCAAGTGTTAAATTTGTGGAAATTTTGTCCATTTCAAGAGCCGAAATTAGTTAGAAAGCCATTGAAAACCCTTGAGAAATAGATAGTTGTTTCGTACTAGTTGGTGAGTTATCAGTAGCATGTACATAAGACCCCATCAGACATCAAAGTGTGCATTCAGAATCCAATGGCCCATGAGTACTAACTTCCAGTAGATCGAAAAGTATCTGTCCTCAAAACCTGAATTAATGGGCACAATCATACAACATTTCTTAGTTAAGCTTCAAGAAGTCCACCCTGTATGATTTATTTACTGACGAATGGGCGATACTTCCTGCTTTCAAGTATTTCTCTAAATTATGTTACTTCGTGACAAAATATACCTTAAAATATAGTGAATGTCTAATCCAGCTTAATTGTTAAGTAATTTTCATGTCGGAATCTATTGAGAATTCATGTGAAATGCCACGAAAGTGACAAGCGAAATCGGTAATTATGTACTCTATATTAGATCTATGTATTGAAATCATTTTCAAACTCTAAGAAAAGGTGAATTTTGTCAGAATTTCATAGATCCTACTATGAAGTGTACCTTATTATCTTATATCTTGAATATTTAAGGTTGATGACAAAGATTTCATTTTTTATCCTGAAGATGTTCTAATGACATCTCTAGCCTGTGTCACAAAGTCAACATTCATTTATTCGAAGTTAGAACACATGGATTATAACTCACTAGCCTCGTGACCTCAACATCATAGCTTCGATTCATGGTGTAAGTCATAGGTGCGCAATGCTGAAGAGCGTCAAACTTGGATGAAACAGATTATCAGTTTTTCATTGATGTTAGCTTGATTTGATATTTAACTTGTAAACAAGCATTTAATTCTAATCAGTCGAGAAATCTGTTATTTATCTTGAGTTAAATACAATCCTTAGGAAAAGACTTCCTTGAGTCTTGAGGATTATAATTTGAACAAAAGATGTTTAGGAGATAAAGGATGTCGCCGTTTACACAGAGTACACTGTATAAAAACGCAAGTTCTTATCCTTGTTCTACTTACACCAAGGAAAAATCAAAACACCGACCAGATCGTTCAAAATACGCAACATATTTCAGGATCAGATCCGTAGTGCGATGATGATTGCTTAACCAGCCGGGGATGTTGCATGAACAACCAAACATGATACGACAGCGTGCCAAATGGCATGGATGCTTCACTGGAAACCTTCAGCTTAACAGGTTGACATAAACAGTGGGGTAAGCATCCAGTGTTGAGTAAAGAATGGGGAATTATTTACTGCTACATATAAATAGAAGACATTACTACTTTTTATCCTGCCTGACAATGGTTATAGGAATAGAAATACAAAATAAAATAGAAGATATTGAAATGAACTTACAGTAGCATCATTCATTTTTGATGCTAATTTATGTAATTCAACAATTTGTGTACTGACATATAATTCTTTATCTATTGCTAGATCAATTGCTTCATGAATATTCTTGAAGTCCATTGGGACACCATCCGATGGAAGCTAAATTGTGAAAAGGTGAAATAAAACAGGAAAAAAAAGAAAGGGACAGTTACGTAATAGCGGTTGTTTACGGTAAATACAGAAATGATACTTTGATAGCTTACAGCTATTTGTCAGGGAATAATCTATTGACGAACACAATCTTCATTTATAGTGCTTTTGTTCTACTATCTGTGTATTTTTAGATAATATGGCATCAATACTCACACCTAAAATGTGGCCTACTTAAAACTTAGGCTACCGAAAACCTCTGTCACTATATAATGCATATGATTTATCTTGTTCACACTGTTTTATCCCATTAAAATATAACCTCTAATGGCATTGTTTCACTCCTGTGGGTGTTTAAAATGTCTACAACCTGCTGATTTACAGGTTTCTATCAAACTTCAGAAGAAGTATAATCGTAGGTGTTAAAGTGTCCTAGTACATGAAATAACTGCCCCTGAGTTTTATCCTTGGGTCTCACAAATGTACTCCTGAACATTTTATATTTCTCAGAGACTTTTTGTGAGTTGCTACATAGGAGATTGTGTCCGTTTTTCAGTGACTGTATTGACGTATTCAGTGAACTTCTGAGTTTCACTAGGTAGCAGATCGTGGAGGGCTGGAGACCTTTGTGAAATGTTGTGTTGTAGTTCTGGAATACGTGCTTTAATAGAGTCGATAAGATTTAATGCATGGCGTTAGAGAGATTTTATGTTGGGATATATGTGACTTCTTCTCAGTGCTTTCCAAAACCACTTTGGATATTCGCGATTGGTGATACAATCATTGAAAAAGTAATTTTCGCTTTCCCATTCGAATGGGAATTTGTCATGAATTTCTCAGACACACAGAAGAAGTATCATGATGGATAAGTCTTCTCTTCAGGTTAGACAGCATTATGTCACGCTATCTGCTGTCACTTAATATCATCTTATTTGAAGTTCCTGGACGAAGGGAAAATACCATACAGTTAACTCTGCTAAAATTCTGTACATTACATAAACACTTCACAGAATAAAGCTATTATTACCATTACTACCAGCTCATTTTTGACAATTGACTATCTTATATAACTAAGTAGGTGTGCTCATAATATATGGATAGAATGATGTATTTCCTTCCCAACAAGTCACTTGAATTTTATAAATTCCATGACAAAACGAAAAAAAATGAAGTAGATAGACAGAGAATGAGATTAGTATTACAAATCATGACTAAAATTAACAGTGGAAGAAGAATAGAGTAATATTCAGAATTTGGACGTGTTAGAGGATAATAGACAGGTCAGTGTGAACATGTACAATTTCGCCTTTTACCTTTTGAAACATTAAAAGGAAAATCAGGAGATAAACACAATTGAAGTTATCTGAGAATAATGAGAACAAAAACAAAACTATCATTAGAGTATAGTTTCTGCAATAATGTAAGCCTCTTTAATCCATGCTGCTTATATGTTTGAGATACCGAGTATCATTGGTACTCATACTCATATTCAATAGACAGTTTACAAACAGAGACACAGAGAAGTTAAACTATCATAGCCACAGTCAATGTCTGCAAAAGTTGACCTTCAAGAACCAAACAGATTTAGTGAACGCTACAAAAGGTCATTCCAAATCAAATCATTCCTGCCATTATGAATTTGGTGAGGGTAGATACAGTATTCCACCTATTCCGGATGTACTTTCTTTGTAAATGTATACTGATAAGTAGGGTTAAAGTTTTTAGGTTTAAGGTTAGGGTCAGGGTATACGGTTGTGGTTAGGATAACAATTTAGGCTTAGGGGTAAGTTATAGAACGGATACCAAAGTACTATGATCTATAGTTGTCTGGATGTATACACCTATAGCTCATTTTATGATTTCCTTATGGATTATCCTTTGAGTAACTATGAGACATTTTTACAACACATAAGAGAAAAGTATCCAGGGTAATATCTTGTTTACAGTGTTTTTAAATACATTTTTAACTATGATACGAGTCTGAATTCTGAATACCTGCTCAAGGTCATTTTGATTTTGGCATTGATAGCCTTACATCGCCAGTGAAAGTATAGGATAGTACTGTGTATTTGTCATAACATCCAGCATTATACCATGAGGGGGAAAGACGGTTAGTTTATCATGTACAAAACATGCTTTAACTCACTTAGTCGATTAGTTAACCACTTGAACGTCTAACCCCAGTAGTGATTCCTCCATAGGCACCAAAACATTAAATGATCCTACACTCGTCACTTCCAAAGTCATTCGCCAGTTTTATAGAGTGAAATACACTAGACTGCAGCCTAGCATCCTAGTCTTTTGCATGTTTCAATGACAACACAGATCAATTCAGTTGATAAAGGTACCGGAAACTTCATCTACAAACAATTTATTTAGTTTGAGGTAACTTCCTAAATATATCCAGTCATACAGGTGACTAATAACCCATTCTTTGTCATAATATTGATATCTGGTGTTGATTTATCTTACATATTAACAGAAATTGTTGTAGTATAGTTTAATTTCCATATTTGTGGACAAGAAATGAATGATAATCAATTGATGAAGATATAAAGAGTCATTCATTGTTAAATTTAACATCAACCAAGGGACGTGTGTACTGCTCAGTAACACAGACAGGCAGATCTCTGGCTAGCTACTAGCTACTCTAAAACATGGCCAATACGAGTTGAAGACATGAAAAGGTTGACTGATTTTGATCATAGATGTCTACGATCTCTTTCTCACGTTAGGTGGTATAATAAGGTAAGTAATGTTGACGTTAGGCGTAGAGTGTTGGGCAAAGAGGGAAAATCAATCGACGAGGCCATAAAGTTACATAGATTGAGATGGCTAGATCACGTGCTGCGCATGCCTAACCATCGCCTCCCCCGACGGGCATTACTAGCTGATATAGGTGCAGGTTGGAAAAGAGTAAGTGGTGGCCAAACAAAAACATGGCATCCATCAATCCATAAAATCCCTGACAGTTAAACTGAGTCAGGTAGGGAGATGCAGACTTCCGGGTTGGGGCCCTTGGGACTCTAAGAATCAATGGCGGGAGACAATAGGTGACATGGCTCAAAATCGTTGTCAATGGCGCAGATGTATTCAGTCTCTGTAATCTTTCATATTCCTTTCTACCATTACTCATTCTGTTTCACTCTTATACTTGTCAAAACTCTATTGATTCTCTTCACTCATCTTCTTGTCTACCTTTGTGTGCTATTTGGAACGTGGAAACTCGAACTGCTGCACTTCGGTGTCAAGTTCTATGTTGAATCCAGACAGATAGAGACAGACAAATTTAATATTGTATTTTATGTTCTATATTTATAGATTTCATAAGAACAAGAAGATGAAGTATCTCTACGATAAGAAAACACTTTCAAAGTTTTGAGTTTTACGAATTTTGTTGATTCTAACTCTTTCAACGTTTCTCTAACTCATGTTATTTTGTTATATGTTGGTCTGCAGAGATTTCATTGGTTGACATCAGCTGGAGAACCATTGAAAACCAGGGAGGCCTAGACAGTTATTTTGTCCTAGTTAGCGACTCTTCAGCCCATTAGTGACTAACTACAGGATGGAGTTGCTGGCATTTTAAATGACAAGTCCAGCTTGATCGACCAAGTCGTGGTGTGTGGACTGACGCTAAAAATCAAGATATGATGATATAAGTTAGAATGTTTGATCCACTGGATTCCGTTCCAGTGGCTAAATGGCCAACGGGCTCGCCTCGTAACATGAAGGTTCGGAAATCAATTATCTGCATGGTTATGGATGTGTATTACTGAAGAGTCTCAGTTAAGGACAAAAAAGTTGTCCAGTACACCCTGGTTTTCATTAGTTTCCTGACCAATATCAGTTCATGATCTAAATCGATATCTTTTCCAGGAAACCAAGTATTCTTATGCACAGATAACTAGTATACTAAAAATTAATTTTTCTGAAATATAAATCAAAAATTATTTTCTATAAAATGCCATGTTAAAAAGTAGAATAAAAGACTGGCAGAAATTATAAATTAAGAAGTGAGAGAGTGGAAATTAGATTGGTTTCTAGTAAATGAATGCTTCATTTTGAGATGGTAAGCGGGGGAAGGGGGAAATAGTGGCCTCATTTGCTTCAGCTATCGATATTAAATATCCTTAGTTTGGTGAACATTTGAACTTGTCTTAATGCTATAATATATCTTTGAACTTGTGAATGGCTTAAGGAGAAGAGGAAATTGTCAGATTTTTACAACGTTGAGCTGTATAAACTCACAGTTGTCAGATCATATCAACCACTATGAAGATCAAAATGAAATGGAATTGGCAGAAGTTGGAATTCATGGGCTGGCCATTGGATCGGGTTCCAATGGCTTTATGGTGTACGAGCTCGTCTTGTAACCAGTAGGTCCTTGGTTCGAACCCTGGCAGTGGGTGTGTACTTCTGAAGAGTCCCAAACTAGGACAAAACAGGTGTCCAGTACTCCCAAATTTTCCAATGGTTCTCTAACTGATGTCAACTCATGATGAAATCCTTCAACCAATCAAACACAATTCCCTACAAAACCATATAAGAATAAATTTCGTTATTATCAAATTTACTTACTTTAACAATATGAGCTCTTTCCTATGAGTTATTGATATCCATGGACAATGTGTAGTAGATAGATAGGTAGACAGATAGATATTCAGTAGTATAAGAGATGAAAACAGAATTATTGCAAAGATTTATTTCTATGAAATATTAGTCAAAAATTATTTTCTATGAAATAGCATGTTAGAAAATAGAATAAACGATTCAAAGAAGTTGGAAATAAGGAAGTGGGAAAATGTTCAGTAACCACAAGGTGAGCTAATAGAAGATGTTTAAAGTTATCACATTATTCACGTATTCCCAGAGGTCTTAATTTCGCCTTACGAATTTAGTATTATACTTTGTATGTATATCTATCACTCAAACATGTTTTTGAAGCGTAGTGCCCTTAATCTTAACAACTAGATGTCATTTACAAACATCAGTGTTGTTAATAACAA